ACATATTTCTTAGCCCGCTCAACACTCCTTCGAACAAACTCATCATAAATCGATTCTTCCACAAAAAGCCTGGATGCAGCTACACAGCATTGGCCCTGGTGGAAGAATACGCCTACATGGGCAGATTCTACAGCACTGTCCACTGAAAAAAAAAGCACATTAAAGAGTAAATATTATCTAAAGAGTATATAATCTATGTATAGTTCTCAGAGCCAATACAATGATAACAGAAAAATGATGAGTTGAGTAGTCAAATATGGGCTCTATACATTCCATCTCTTAAAATCCAGATGACAAATTAATCTTTGTGATTCTTCATTTACTATGAAAGTGGCAATAAATAGAATTTGCAAAAGTGGGGGTTATTATCCTAACTTTAATATGGATGTAACTAAGAATGTGGATTTTATCCTAAGATTAAATACCATTACAATAATTTGTGTAAATATCTCCATTTCTAAATTGATTCCTGTGAATATGTCTTTAAGATATCAGGTTGTAACTAGATAAGAGAGAAAATCTGAAATATGCTTTGTCTGAAAGTAATTTTGAATCATTCTTAAAAGTCAATTAAAAAACTGATCTTTCTGAAAAAATAAGTACAACACCCCCCACCCCCAAATCCACTCATAAAATCACTTACCCTGCCTTATGTTCTTATTCTGGGAAAAATATTTTCAAAGCCTACCTAAAAGTACACCACCTTATTTCACATATGCCTATAATCTCTTATCTATTTAGGTGGCAGATTCTGCCTAGGATTTTTCATTAGTGGATCTTTAACAAGAAGAAACTAATTTTTTTTGCATTTTAATTTTTTAGATGCTGAAGATTCAATTCAACATTAAAGCAATTGGATGTGAATTTGTGAATTAAGCATACAAGTTTAAGTTTTATCAGAAGCAGTTGACTGATAGGCTTCGAATATTGGGAATAATGTCATATTTTAGAACGTGTAATAAGACAGTGCATTCTAAAGACTTCAGTTAAGTTCATAAAAGTCAGTTCATGAACTATTTGTTCATACCAATAATGCAAGAGTTTAAGAAAGAATTAGAAGAATGTCTGAACACCTACCTCTGCTAATTTTTATTTATGAGTAAATTGGGGGTTCTATTTGGTAATCAGAATGAACCAAAACATCATATTGTGGGGTCACATCATAATTGCAGAGTTAAGTATGTATGTGAACTGAACTATCCTTGATAGAAGAAAATAGGAACTGTGTAAGCAGGTTTAATTTTCTTCCGACAATCTCAATTAATGAATGTGACTCAGAGTGAAGGGAGGTGACAAATGTAAAATTGCTGTCTCCTCAGTGTTTCAGGCCCAACATATCTGAGTTATCTCATTACGCTTGACATGGTGCCAATAATTGAACATTCAAATTATTAAAAATATATCTTACCTCACTCCTAAATGCAATACATTTATATTATTCAAGGTTCAGAAGAGGAAACAGCAATCTATTCCAAACCATGAAGAAATGGTGTCTGTGATTAACTTATCTATGTGTTCTAACTTTAGGACCATTTAAAAGTTTTCAAGAATAATTCTGGACTCAGATGAATTCCTTATATTTTGAAGCAAACCTGTTTGTGAAATTCAAGTTCACTGTATGGAGTTATCAGACACCACAAAGGATGAAGATGCAGGGCTAGCAAAGGCGGCTTGTACTTACAGTCAGCATCAGCAAACACAATGCAAGGGCTCTTCCCTCCCAGCTCCAGGGTGACCCTCTTCAGATTGCTCTTCCCAGAAGCTTCTTTGATTATTTTGCCAACCTGAAATGGAGCATTACAAAGGAGGAGACTTTCTATGTGCTCACAAAGACAAGTTTAACATTTTATATTTATATGATGTTTGTGGCATCATTAAATTTCATTTGGAAGAAACACAGGCATTTTTCTGCAACTGGCATCTGGGATTTTAAAAGGTCCCCCAAGCAAGTATGTAGACACAAAGATAAATCAGAAAAACATTCATGGGCAACACAGCAGAGATATAGACTATGACAATGGTCTTGACGTGTGTAATTAGACAGGATGTTACTTTTCACTTTGATTCGAACTTCATCTTGAGATTTATCAGATGCATCATGGCCCAGCCTGAAGTTACTTATTTGGCTTTTCATCCATCCCTCTACTGACATTCATAGAACTCTATCCAGTCAACTGCCTTATTCTCCGCATCTTGAACCTCGTCTTTCTTCTCATTATATATCCATCACCACCTAGATCACATCCAAGTCCTGCCCTTAGTGGGGTTCAGCTGATATTTCAACTCCTCCTAGAATCCTTTTTTGAAGAGTCTGGATAGACACAAGCTTTTGTTCTTCTGGTCTCCCAGTGAACCACATGAAGACTCCTTCAGAGTTGGCTTCAAACTGTATTAGTTGTATATGTATACATTTGCATAAATTTGCTAAGGAGGCTGTCCACTCCTTGGTAGCCATGACAAAGTCCTATCACTGGATACCTGTCCTCAGTAGTGTTTATCACGGTGGTTTCATGTAACTGTTCTCTCTCCCTCCCTTTCCTTCCACCTCCTCCCTCACTTCTCCGCCACACATGGTTTTTGAGAGTGAGGTTAGAAGAAAGATATTAAATTGGTGCACTGGTGCTCTGTGGTATTACTTCAGTTAGCTGGACTCCTACTCTTCTGGTTTTTTCTTGAATGCTACTTGCCTCTACTCAGACAAAGATAACTGTTTCCTTTTGTTTTTCCTTCTTTGTGGATCATGTCCCATTAAGTTATTTGCTATCGTCATTTTGTTTTGTACAGTATAAAACCTGGTCTATTTATTTTTATTGACACCTTGATCCACTAAAAGGATCTTTGCCTTTCTCTTTTATATAATAATTTTATTTGGCTTTTTTTATTATTCGAATTTCTTTTCCTACTCTCTGTGTTACATTTTAATTAAAAGATCCTATTTCTATTTAAAAAAAGATAAATTGTGCATTTACTTTGCATGCAGTTGCTGAAGTAACTGGTGCTGTGCCTTACAGAACAGAGTATTAGTGAATCTGCTGAAAAGGTTTCATGGGACTCAGTCAATCTCCTACAAGTAGATTAATAAAGCTAAACTAAGTGTAGACCTGAATTAGAGAAACCCTGTCAGAAATGTCTCTTATAGTCCATTTTCCTTTGCAACATATTTCATGAGAACTTTTTCAAAAAGTGAATTTTCATTTAAGGTGATTAAGAAGTTTTTTCCTTGTCCTGTTAAGCTCCTCAATTTCAAATTTAACAGGGATACTTAACATATCTGAGACACACTGCTAGGAGGAGCAGCAACAGAATGTGAGCCCAGAAGTTGCCTACTCTTCTAATATCAGGGTTTCTTTTTGGAGGTAAAATGAGCCCAGAATGTGTGAGGAGCTTCAGGATGAGCCAAGATGAAGAGGAAGTGATGCTGGCAGTGGGGTCAGGGAGCAGCAGACACACTGGAGGAGTGAGGGACCTGGAAATGTCCCTAGTGTCTCTATAGGGAAAGTTTAGAGCTCCAGCCTGGGGATTGTGTGCTTCCCTCCTCTACCTTCTGTGCTAAGATTTCAGTCATTTCAATAGTTGCTGGCATGCCCTGAACATTCTCAACTGTCCACAGAAAGTCATAAAGGTAGGTCGGCCTTTCCTCATCTCAGTTAGGCACTGGTAGAAGGCAAGCTTTTTCTACTCTTACATCTATGAAAAACAAAGAAAAAAAATTTCTATTTACCTAGTTTTAGAAAATCAAAAACAATAAGACTGATATCTTATTTCAGTTTTCATGTAAATAAGTTTTTAAAATATATTAGAGTGGCTCACTAGGATTATGAAAGTATCAAATTACCTTCATTTCACTACCTAGATACATGGGTGTCCAACAATTTTGCTTGCCTGACTCCCCCTGAAGGAAGAGGAATTGTCTGGGGACACATTTAAACTATTTAGTATAGTTAGTGTACATGAGTAACAAAACTTTCTTTTTCTATATGTTGTTTTATGACATATAAAGGGCAATTGGTGTGCAGGCTGCAGATCAGACAGTGTAATGGAATGTTCATTTATTTCTCAATCATCAGGGCTCAACATGTAAGCATTCCTCAAAACCCAGAGGAAAGTTTAGCAGCCATCTGGAGATCAGTACTCTTCCTCTAGAATTTCTCTTTATGGCACTTTACACATATTTTACCACTTATTACTCCCTGCCTTGTTTTGTGCTTGTGTTGGCAGCCTTATAAAACAGGCTCTTGCTTAGTCCTAATCCTTTAGGCCATGTACCAGTGAGAGGCACATGTTAATTTTTTATATTAAACATCTAACAAAGTCATACCCTAGCAGAAGAACTCAAGAGACTTTTTTTTGCTTGATATGGTATGATTTCTTCCCTTTCTTTTGCTTAGGATAGAAAAACTATTCACTGTCCCAAAGACTACCCTCCAGGCAGCACTCCCCACACCCCTTCTCCTTGAGGTGCTCATAGAATAAATACTATTGTTTGTAAACATTTTTGGACAACCAGGCCAGAGCCAGCAAGCAAGAATTGAGTGCAACCAGCAGTAAAATCAAGGGAAACTGAGCTTCTGGCTCCCTTTCAGAAGGAACAGGGAAGAGAGTTCCAAATAAGGCACTCAGGGTGAGGCGCTGCTACTTAATTTTCATAATCTAAAGGGTACAACTGCATTCATTCACACAAATCACTGTGGCCCAATTTATATTTCCTATCATAAACTTTACAAATCATGTGACTCAGCACCTGTGCTCTGTTTCTCATAAGAGAAGGTAAAGAACACACTCAACAGTTCAGTCCTTTGAGGATTGTAATCAGTATTTCATTTCATCTAAACTACAAATGTTTATGTTATAGAAACAAATTGGAAGGTAGAATAAAGAATAAATTATTAAAATGAACTTCTGTTCATTGTTGGCTTCAAAACAGTTACATAAACATCCTTCAAATAGTTAAGAGATGAGGCCATTTTTAATGGCCAGCCTGAATAAGTAGCATTACCTCTGTTGATCCTGTGAAGGCCACTTTGTCAATGTCCGTGTGTGAAGAGATGGCTGCCCCTGCAGTGGGCCCATAGCCAGGGACAATATTCACCACTCCAGGAGGAAAACCTACCTGAAAGGATAAAAAGCAAAACAGTCACAACAGAACTCAGAATGATGCAAGAAAGGGGAGTATGGGATAGAGGTTACTTCTTCAAGGTAATCTGGTGAGTTGTTCTACCAAGAAAATTTTACCTAAGCAACTTAATTCTTTATTCCTTATTATTATTGTTTCATTTCTTATCCCATATAAAAATAACCCAGTGGGGGTAATATTATGCTACGCTTTCTTCCCATGGTATGTGCGTAGTTTATGGATCATTGCTCCAATGAGGGTCATCTCAAATTTCCTTACAGTAACTCAAGAAGATAGTATATTTAAACTTGTTTGTTAAAATGTTTACACAGAGGGAAAGTAATGTGTTTATTGTCTCCATCAGCAAAAATGCAAAGCTATAGGACCTCACATTTTTAGTTCTCTGGCTGTTGATGGCTTAAGGCTTAGGAACTGAGTTGCAAACCCAGTGACATTCTTTAATCAGTAAAATGTTAGGGAAGCAAGGTCATCCTGTTCAGGGTGAAGCTTCACAAACTGATGTCAACCCCTGGTGAAGAATTCATGTAGGAGACAAGATTACAACTGAGTTGACCATGTTAAAATTTCATATTATTTTCATCAAATTGCTAAATTTTCTCATTTTTTGTCTCTTTTTAATTTGAAATGAAGAATATTTATTAAGGTATGGCCGTCCTTTTCCTAAATTTTAACTTTCTAGTGATTAACAATTGTTTAAGTTTTGGTAAGATATGAAGGACAAAGAGTAACGAGTGATCACACAATTAGGATAGTTGATGAAAATAAGTTTCACATACTCTTTACTACTTTTGAAGCATATAGAAGAAAGCAAAATAGAAAAATGAATATGAAAATATCCATTCATGGAAATAGGCTTTAGAAATATGGCCTAGTGTTACAGACAAATATATTGGCACAGTGAACTGCAGCCTTAATAGATTAAAAATAAAAATTTGTTTAAATTTAAACAAACTTGCAGAAACTACTGGGCCATAGTGGCAGTTGAAACTAGCATAATATCCCAGCATTGAAAAGGTGCTGTATTAGTTTCACCTGGAATTTGTGTTCATGAGAGTCAGATAAAAGCAAGGAAGCAGTGGTCACCAGGTGACTGACTCCAAGCCTCCCATCTGGCTTCTGGGCTGCAAATGGGGGAGATTCATGTGCTCTGACTGACAAAATTCCAGCTAGCAGCCCTGCTCCGGGCACCCTACCCACTGGACGGAGCCTTTGAGGACAATGCAGCCGACCGTTATAGGGAATGGGGAAGAGGACTTTGCCAGAACCTCTACCCTGGGTCCTAGCCTCCTGTGAGCCACTACAGCACAAGGTGAATTAAAGCATAGGCAGAAAACCAGACTTAGCGTGAAGCTGAGTCTTGGGGGATGATCATTGCTGTTGATGGCAGGAAAGACTAAGGTTCCCAAGCACTCTATTATTTATTGAATACAATTATGGGAAGGAATAGGGACTTGGATTTGTTTGAAGGCATCTAGTAAAATACTACCAACACCTGGCATGATGGTGCCCGGCAGGGCTATTAAGGAGTAAGCACAGCTTAGCTTGCTTGGATAGAACACACAGGTACTAGGACCAGGTAAAATTAGCAAGCAAGCCATCGGGTCAGTGAGAAGCCATATTCAGGGGAAAGGATTTTAATTGGAATCATGCTGACCTCAGCTGCACATAACTCAGCAGAGTCCTGCCACTTCGCAGACAAGGGCCTAGGCCTAGATGACAGTCATTAGCAATGGAGAAATACTAGCCTAACTCTGCTACCAGTCATGCCCTTTTTCTTCTTCTTCTTCTTCTTTGTGCCAGGGATTGAACTCCTGTCTTCGTGCTTGCACAGCAGGCGGTGAAACCACTGAGCTAAAACCCCGACCCCAGACATGTCCATTTGAGTCACATAAGGGTTTGGTCTGACTCCTGATATAAAACAATATAGCCAAATTAGGGAAGGCAAGAAGCATGTGCCACTCATTGCTAGCTAGCACTGGGCTAGAATATCTGTGGCAGACAGTAGTACTAAATGATGGTTTATCAACTGGGGCTCTTGCATTCTTGTGCATCATGCTTTGACCCAGGAAGCTTACCTCTTTAATTAATGATGCCACGTGAAGAGCAGTGAGCGGAGTCTGCTCTGCTGGTTTGACAACCACTGTGTTTCCACAGCTCAGGGCAGGCCCTATCTTCCACACCAGCATAAGCAACGGGAAGTTCCACTAGAAAGCAACATTCCACAATGGAGTCTTTGTTTTGCTCAAAGGCAGAGTTACTAATGTAACTTAGACATTATAAACCTTCTCCCCACCCTGTAGTTGTTAAATTATGTGTAGCAGTTTTGTACAGGCATCCAGTGTATTTTATTTAAGGCCATGGACAGAAGCAACTAGTAAATTATAACACTGTACCTAAAGGAAATAGAAGAAGGAAAAAGGAAAGAGCACCCATATTGAACCATGTCATTTTTTTGCATTGTTATTCCACCAGGAAAAAAATCACTGCATGGTTTTGGATACAAGCAAACATATTGTAAGCATTCTATACTTTAAAAAGTGGTTATTCTGGGGCCGGGGATTTAGCTCAGTGGTTCCGGCGCCTGCCTTACAAGCGCAAGGTCCTGAGTTCGATCCCCAGTACCAAAAAAAAAAAAA